AGATGCTACTAACAGTTTCCAGATCATCTAATCTAGACATTTAAGGATGAGTGAGTGGTGTAATTGTAAAATATACCATCCACGCTACCAGAATAAACCTAGGGTTGATTAAGAAGACACGCACATTCTCAGAGCTCACAGCAAAACCGTAATAGTCAGATAAATTCTAAAATCCTTCCCCCGAATAGTTTTCACACTCTTCTGTCGCTAAATACACTGCTCATTAGAGTGTATTTCTAAATGACTTGGTGTTTTCGATTGATGACTTTTATCAGTGCTTGCAGATTAGGTATCATACTAATGATGTGCGTAATTAAGTAAACTGTGTTGAGCAAGACTAATAGAGTGTAGCTCATCAAAGGCCTGACCAGTTTCTTACTGTTGCGTGGTAACGAATTGACTAGACATTGCATTGTGAAGGGTATAAAAACCGTGAAGTGAAGAACCTTGGTCCAAGTTAACGAGTGTGTTATTGATAAGTAACGCTTAATGAATTGTAGCGACAAATAGCTCCCCAAAATTACTAGCCTAAGACATACATCACTCAGCATTGGGTGCTGACCAATATTTAAGTTGATCTGCTAAGCTGGCGGCTCGCAGCCAGGAATCCACACTATTCAGCACGCTATCGTATTACTTTCAGTCGTTCCTGCAATGTCCCTAGCTTGCTAAGAAATTATCATAGCTTTCAGAGTTTGATCTCCAATTATATCTTGTATTTTGGTCAACCCATCCTGTGCTTTGATTTATCTTTTACCTAAGCAAAACAAATATTATAGAAGTTGGTGGACGAGAACTTTCGTTTCATTATAGCGGGCTTTTCATAAACGTCAGCATCCCGTCATCTCCTAGATGAGTGCAATTTCGGATTACTCCATAGTTGGGACCAAAGATTTTGTTAGCAGTTACTAACACCCATAAGAAACATTATGTGTTCAACATTGAAATCCTTGTGTAATGATTATCAGTAAATCTGTAGTGGTAAGGAATTCCTTGGAAACATTAGTCTGCAATTTCATTATTCGACAGTGAGTGCTGTCTAGGCAGACTGATTAAGTTGAAGATAGGTGGTCGGAATATTTAGAGGCTAAATGGTGTAAACATGCACGCGAGATATGCCTATGACTCAATGCAGGTTTATATTCTAATATCCCCATATTGCCTGTTCAACTAAGGTATGACATGTGCCCATAACTCGGACCAAAACGAAAAGCTGATCATACAAAATATGAATCATATTCCAGAGTCAGAAATGTATCCGCTTGGCTAGCTGGCGTGGGTGCAATAACAGAAAAAAGTAATACTATAACACAAAGAGCAGCAGTTGCGCAAGGAAGGAAAGCTGAACTGGAGCTCTGCAAGAGCGTGTATTTTGTACGATGCTAAATAATAAAGTACGTGGGCCAAGCCCTCAAAAGCATGCAGTCTATTTCTCATTACTGATAGCAAGTCCTGGTAGAAGTTGTGCCTCGTGCTCCACATGATAAGCTCCTGGACGTCTTTTTGAAGGGAAGAAAAGAAAATAGTGCGAAATGCTGTCTGTAACAGTTTTTATTTTGTTACAATACCACAGCTTGGTATGTTGAGTGAATGACCATCCACGCTTCTTCAGCTAAGTTGGTCGACTTAAACAATTAAGAATAGCAGTGAACAATGAAGACCGTTAGGGAATTGTTTACTGTTACACATCCATGCCACTTGGCATGTTGGTTCGTTAAGTCAGATCGTTTGTATATCATCTGTGTCTAGCTAGCTGCGTATCTCTGCACAACAGTAGCGATCCGGAAGCATACTTCGTATTTTTAACGATATAATTATTAGTCTGGTGTAACTTGCCAGCCGTTCTTTGGACTTAAATGACAAATACACGAATAGATGAAAGACACATACCCGCACTACCATTTAGTTGTGTAGGTTCTCCACAGCACTGCACTTTATGGCCGCTAAGATGTCGCAAGTGATCAAGGGACTCAAAGGACGAGCTGAGAACCAAGTAGGATCTATGTATACTTCATGATTTATTAGACATTCCGTATCTATTGAATAGATCATACCCTTTCCGTAGTTGAATTAGGTATTCCCGCTTCACCTGCCCTCCCCTGTGCTCTCGAAAATAAGGGCTCATAAACACTTCGGGTCTTCTTCATTATTACAGGTCATCGTTAGGTAATCTGTGTAATCGTTATGATAGAAGAGTTGGTTTGTAACTTGGTAAGCTCAGTTTTCTTGTTCACATTTCGCCCTCTATTCCTTATAGTTAACCATAGTCTATAAATCTATTTTGTTTTTTCACTAGTACGTATTATTTCGTCCAATATTTTTGTTCATTATGTCTCATTTGCCGAAAATAGAAACTGACTCTCAAAACTACTTCTGTAGAGGTGGATGCTTTAGTCGCCACAAAAGTTAGTTTGCCTGGGTTTGTTCGACATGACTCCGGACTATGGTTTAATCGGCTATAGCACTGCTTCGACTAGTGAAACATTATACCCGAAACCACCAGGTTCAGAGAGAAGCAACCATACACAGCGCTGGAGAGCAAGGTTATAAAACGCCTTATTTCTGAAAACCAGTGTCTAAATTGGTTGCTTCAAGGGGAGAACAAGGGAGATAGATCCACACCGCAGTCCTTTAGACACCTGCAGCAGCTTATATGGAACAGCAAGGTGGAAGAGCTGTATTGATACAGGGTTGGTTGCAAGCCCTCCCAGTGTATTTGCAAAACTCACTAGATGCACAAGATCCTCACTCTCCTCTTAAACGCTTAGGACTCAGTGATTATCAATTGGAGAGGAAACGACTAACGGAACGACAATTTTACCAAATGAGTACAAGCAAAGGCCTAACTGTCTTAGCACTACTGGCAAATGTTGAGCCGTTAGCAGAACAACCAGAACAGATGCGGCCAGCACACGGCAGATGAGGCAGGCCACCTAATAGAGCATGTTCCCGGTCAAACAGTAGGCCTACACAGACTAGGTCAGCAGGCCAATTCTGTTGGTATCATTGGGGGTTTGGCGTACAGCCGAAAATTGTACACAACTGTCTGCCTGTCCGAGGTGCGTATAACAATGACAACTTACAGAGGAGCTCAAACTGGTTCACAGCTCTTCAAAAACTTGTCGAAGTTCCTGTGGTCACTCGGAATCCGCTGCACACAGGCCACTCTCAAGCTGACGGTGTGATGGAACGCCTTCACCGGCAACTGAAAACCGAATTGACACCTTAATGTAACCTCATTTTGAAGGTGGAATTCATTCTAGTGATGGTGTTTGGTAACCGAACTTCAACAAAAACTGACTTTTAGTGTTCGATCGCTGAACTGGAATTCGGAAGCGCACTGAGACTGACTGGCATGTTTACTGGTCCTGGCATTGATAGGAAAAAAACAGATATAAGTGGCTAGCACAGAGCTGATTTCCTCGCGAGAACAATCAAGAACAGTACTCATGCCGAATGAATGGACTCCTGATCCCATGTATGGATGGGATGTGATAAAACACAGTCACCTCCCAACCCACCATATTAAGGACCCTTCACAGTCACGACTGGGCGCCCGGAAAAACCTCGTCAAACACAAGGAGGAGAACTGATTGTTCAGAAGATGAAAAGAGCCCTAAAAATCATAGAGATACTTGGCTATTCTTTCGTGATTCTGAATTCCCTGATCACTGACCACGTCTGAGTGACCATTTCTTTGTGTGTAGAATAGACCTCACTCCATATCTCCTTGATGTTCCGCGAGATTTATATTACTTGTAGATTTGTGCTGGTTGCTTAGTGCTTTCAAACTTGTTTTACAAAAATTCCTCGTCACAATACCTCACCAGCACGCTCGCAACCTTCTTTTCACTTTTAAAGCACTGTCGTTGGGTGGTTTCATGATTATTTTGATATATATATATCATGCATTAGCAAAGTTGTAATTCAAAGTACATTTAATTCCAGTACAAGTGGCTGAACGGTCAGCGAAGTTCGTCTCATAACCTGAAGCTAGCCTTTGATGGGTTGTGTTTATGTACCAATGAAGAGCCCCGAAACAGAACCAAACAGCTGTACAGTGAACCCTTGTTTTTAGTGACTTCTAACTGGTTTATGCTCGTGACGAATCTGCACTGAAGAATAGTTTCGTTAGTGCGCTTAACTGTGTATTAAAAGGCTTAAATAGTAAGGCCACAATAGAAACCTTATTAGAACTATTGCTAGAAAACCACTGTAACCATTTCTTATTATTTATTGTGATCAAACATCTACTTAGAATTCGAGAGGTTTGATTCCCTTTAGGAGTGATTCAGCATTTTATTAAGGCTGAACTATGAATGTCATCAAGAATAAGGAGTGGATTCACTGCTTTCCTCCATATGGCGTTAGTCTTGCCCTCCATTTTAGCTGCAGTGTTTACTCTATAATATCCGTCAGTGTTACAGTACCAATCCATTCCTATATCATTACTTAAGATGGGCACATTTCACCATCTCATGTGCTATCAACTAACAGCTTAATGCACCCAAATGCGCTACACCAGATGACAGAATTTTTCATATGAAGGAAAGCCGATCGAAGTAGGGACAATTACCTACTGTTGAAGATAAGTTAAATGAGTCCCCAATAACCTTGTATTTACATCTCAATAAAGGACGTTAAATACGAGTTTGCTGATTGATTGTATACTTCCATAAGGGTCATTCCTGAGTTAACCTAACCACTGATACTTACTCTAGTATTAGACCTGGTCTGTGACCGTGTAACAGCACTGATCTCTGAATTTATCGCTATCACTAACTCCCAACCCTAACGTAAGCGCTAACCTTAACCCTAGACACTAAAAGCAGGTAATTCAGGTCGAATGCAAAATCTTGAAGCAAGAGTGACACTTTGTTAATTACTAGTGACATGACGGTTTGCTGTAGGTCGTCTGGGATGCTTATACATTTTATTTTAAATACATTAATAGATTAATTTGAGTAAACTGTGTTCAAGGATATTGGATATTGGAAGGACATGAGATACTGAATACCGCTTACCCGCGCTGTTTGGTCTCATCGGAACGATGGTATCCAATGAAGAAGTTCTGAATGCTCTAAAGATTCTCCAAAAGTATAACCTTAAGGTGCGGATTTATACTGTATTTATGACTGATAAAGGAAGCTGAAATAGCATTGAAACAGGAAGCTGGCTTTATAGATGAAAAGATCGCGGAAGAGTTTTTGAAATTTAAGGCGTTAGTAAACTCTAGTTTCCAAATAACTATTATAGTCAAGTGAAAGATGAACCAGAAAACTTTTGTTCCAACTATCAGTCTGTGCTCACGTTTGTTGATTCAGTGCCTGACATACATAAGGTATATACAAGTAAAAAGCTGTGCAAATGTGTTATTATAGGTGGAGTTGTCAGCTTTACTTTTCCCAATTTTTGTATATATGTATCTGCGTCTCATAAGTGCAAACATTTCTGTAGAAGGTAATTTGTATTTTACAATGACAGCACTATTTTAGCCAAGAAGTTTTTAAACATGTTCAGGAAGTATCAAGAGGATTTCTACCAATCTGATATTAATATGTTATCTAACATCACTAGCTCAGAACATTTGTTTATGAACCCGCTAGTTGAATCGTTCCGATCCTCGGAGTTCGTCGTTAGCGTTTCTGCTGAGTCATACTCTCTGCTGCGCCATTTTCTTCAAGAAAAAGAAATGAATGTTATTCAAAGCATCCTTAGAGAACAACTCTCAGTTGAAAGTAATTTAGAAATACTTTAACTAAAATCTCAGTTATTAATGGTCCTCCTAGGTCAAAGTTGCAAATTGATTGCCGTCGTGGTGCTTTGTTCGGAGAGGCTCGTTGTGATGCGAATAAAGAACCTGTTTTATATGGTCTGTTAAGGGATCCTTCACTAGATCTCACAGTAGAGATGGACACAGGAAATGATATAAATGATAATGAATGCGTTCTTGGCGATAATGAAGGTGATTCTTATTGTCAGATATTTGTGTTATTTTGTAGTGGTAGACATTCCATTCCAGATTGCTATGGTATTTGTAGTATGCACAACGCTGTACTGCTAGTTTCCTTTTATTCTTTAAATTCTGGTTTTACTTTTACTCTTGGCTGATCTATTAAGCCTGTTGTGTGCCTTGCTTCAGCCCCTTGTTAGTCGAGTTATATTTCAACTGTATGATAGTAATAAATGGTATTTTTGTAGGATAAAGTTGTTTATTGTAGGGAAATGGTCTCTTCCTCTCGTTTCATCCTAACTGTTAGCTCTTTTAATTATTTTCAAAGGCAGCTCAATTGCTTTTTTTGTAATTACTAGAAGGCGAAGACCAGAATGTCGTGAAAAAGAAAAAGCGACGTGATGGTTCTGGACATTCGAGTAGATCGTCTTTGTCAAAGGATGGGAGCAAGTCTGATTCAAATTCTCCAGCCCTCGATCGGATCCCAATTCCGAAGGTATTGCTTGTTTATTGTCATGCTACTGTCTCACAAGTGTTTCCTTACATTTTTGACGTCATTTTCCAAATTACTTGACCACATACATTCATCAGCTTGGCTGGTTAAACTTCACGATAGTGTGAATTCACGACAGCTACAAGGCTTAGTAGCTGCTTATCATTGGAAAATTCATATTGTTGGTGGGTACCTGTAAATTACCAGTAATGGCTTTACGTCGAAGCAGTTTACCTGTTCAATTTTCGAAATGATTAGTTGGGATGCGTTAGTGTAATTGAGATGTGGCTCATTGGAATAAGCACTCAATTTTTAAACTCAATTTTTAACCACTGAGTCACGTGTTCGCGTCCCGCTCCACTGTCTGTAACCTGGGCAGCTGCGTAGTACCACCTATATGCACGCAATTATTGTGGCTCATAGCCTGAAGCAAGAAGAATCTGTTCTGATTAGCCGAGTTCTGACTGACAAAAGTGTTTTTGTCGTCGCTATAACTTGTCCAGCTTCATTTTAGTTTTAAATGCATTGTGACATTGGATGGCGTACGATAAAATGACTTTAAATTCTTATTCACAAGTTTGAACTACAGCATGTATTATTTTGCTTTCCCTAGGTATTGTAGCTCTATCCCTTCATAACTAGTTTAAACGAAACTACGCGACACTGTTTCTATACTTAAAGTCACCTGTCAGGGGACACTTAGGTATATAGCATAAGTCTAGTTCATGGAATTAGGGTGCTACATGTCACCGTCTGTATGAACTTTTGTTTTTTTTCAGATTTCTCACGCGTCACTGATTGTTTCCAATATGTTAGATCTGCAGATGATGTTTAATCTCTTTTGCATCATCAAGTTTTATGTTGCATAGTGATATATAGATTTTTATTGATAATATGGTTTTGTAATTTTATAGCTTCGTGAATCCTACATTGAAAGTAAACAGGCTCTTTCACGGGAAATATCAACTCTCTTACGCAGTTATCACCAACGAAATCCACAAAAATCTTCAATCGGTACAAGTACAGTCCTTTATACTATTTGTAATGCACAAGCTGGTGAATCAACGCTAGCTATTCGACGCGGTGGTGTAACATGTTGTAGTTTTAGTGACGATTCATCACAATTAGCAGCAGGCTTTGGGTCGGGTCGTATTCGTGTATGGTCTTTAGGTCCTGAATCTTTAAGGCGTATGCTTCCAGCTTCAGAGTTGAGTTTGTTAGATAAGGATGATTCAAGAGTGAAAACTAATATGTTGTATGATGAAAATGGTAAGCTACTCTATGTAAAATGTGTGTATGCAACTTTATGGGTTTTGTAAAAATGTGGTTATTTTAAAAGTTTACTGTCTGTTTTTTAACATTTGCGTGATAACCATATGTTGTAGAGTGCTTTCCTGTGATTTTCAATTGATTCATTATTTTGTAGCTACTTGTAAAAACTGCGTATTTCAAGCCTAGTCTACATATATCTGTAGAATTCGTGCACACGCAAATGTTTCTCACACTTTCTCACAAATTATTTTTCAAAGGGAGTACTAGCAGCAGTATTTTGTGTTCATGTAAGTCGAAGAAATATCTAGTGCAATTGACATATGGAAACTACCAAGGGACTTCATGATGTCTCTATATAGTTTTGCTCGTATACAGTAGGGCCAGCAAGTAACCAGTACTGAAGATAGATTCAGAGCCCTAGATAATGACCATAAATCAGTAAGTCAGCTGGTTTCCACTTATCTTCTCTGTGTTAATTGTGGTCATTTTAGTATATGGCATTTACATCAATAGCATCAAAGTGTTTTTGGATAAAAAATAGCTAGAGAAGCCATTGCACCTATTTATTCGCAAAGTTCAAAACATTCATTACATTATTCTGAAAGTTGATTAGTTAGCCTAGCCTAATCTACATCTAATAATCATATTTTCCATGTAAATTTGTAGAAGAATACAGCATTCACATATCTTAAGCTACCGATTATTTCAAAATAGACTGAGGTCATATTTCCAGAAATTACACAATTGTTTCGTCTGACTTTTTTCATACGTTTGACGTGCATGTATAGGAGTAGTTTTCGAAAGCTTCATGTGTCGCTATATTTAGTAAGGTTATGCGTAGTTATTCACTGCCTTTCACTTGTCTTTCAAAGATGTGCTATCTTCGATGAACAGGTCTTTAATCTGATATATTCATGTTTGACTTTAATTCTATGTGATCTATCCAAATTGGCGTTAGTAAGTAATATCCATATTAAAGTTGTTTATTGAGACACTCAAATTTTATTGTCCAGATGCAAATAAAGCTTTTGATCAGCATAGACGGTTTGTGGTGTCCAGCTAAGTTTCGTCATAAAGTTTTGCAAATGTGTTGGGGGATTCCAGCTAAAGAGTTACTGTTGTACATCCACTTGATAACTTATTATTTTCCTTCCAGTAAAGGCGATGCACACATTGGTAAGGGTTTGAAAAAAATCTAAGTCTGTATTTAACATTGGCTCTCAAGGTTGGTGTGTTTTCGAGTACTTTAACTATGAACGAAGTCACATGATACCTGTATAACAATTTTAGAAAGTGTTGTATCTGTATATGAAATAAACAGAAACGACTGTTTCGTGTTCGTAAGTTTGCATTCCTGTGCAGATCTTATGAGGCGTGTATAGAATAATTTTCTCGGCTAGTCTGAGTATAAGTAAAATAGATGACTAAATGACAATAATAGAAGGAGTAAGTAACTAGATAAATTCATTGCGTTAGTGACTGCTTTCTGTTCATGCTAATGTTGTGATGTTGATTTGCTTGGTTTTTCTTTATCATTTTAGTGAGACTCATTTAACTCGAGATCTATTAGGCCATTTGGGTAGTGTTTTTGGAGTTGCATTTAGTCCCGATCGCCAACTAATTGCTTCAGCGAGTTCCGATGGTACTGTGCGATTATGGTCAACTTTGATTTGGGGTGGAGCTTTAACAGCCTGGCGTGATCATCTGCTGCCTGTTTGGTGTGTTACTTGGGCACCTACTTATGGTCATTATATAGCAACAGGAGGTGCTGATCGTAGTGCTCATTTATATGCTACTGATCATGCACCAGATGCTTTACGTGTTTTCGTTGGACACAAAGCGGATGTGACATCCGTCTGTTTGCATCCAAATGTTAATTATCTTGCAACCGGCAGTGCTGATCGAACTGTTCGATTATTTGATGTCCGTTCTGGAAAAATGACAAGAGTGTACACAGGCCATAAGGTAATTAGTCAGTGTCATTAATTCAAATCGGAATTTTTTTGGAGTATGTTTCTTAATTTTTTAATAACTAGGTGGTTTGGGTTTTTTATATTCATTCATGAATTTAATATTGACACATGAAGAGGAAAAGTATAAACTATTGGGTTCTTCAACTGTCAAAAAAAACTATGGGCTTTCACACTGTGAAAAAACAAACGCTCTTGTGAAATGCTCATTTATGTTCTTTTGTCCTACAACAGTTGTGAGTAATCCCTTTTTTGTAAGAAAAAACTAATCAAACCTTGCCAAGTCATTTTTTTGTAGTACGAATTTTGAAATAGATTTTTGTCTTTTTTTCTTAAAATATGATTTCCTTTTTATGCAGTGACGTAGTCAGTAACACTTTCGCTTTTAAAACTACGGGCACTGGGTCTGAATATGAGTGGGAATACATTATCACTCATTGCCATAGAAATGCATCCAACTGGCGAGTTTCAAATCTGTGTCCTGAATTCCATTACGAAAGCACTTTTCCGCTGTTGAAAGCAGATGTCAAACACAGGAAAGTAAATATCGATAAGATGCTAACTAGCGACTTGCTCTATTTAGGTAGGTAGTTACCTGGGGTTCCAGTGAGAAGTCGTGACCGGCAGGGTGCAGCAGGTCGGGTGTGAGGACAAATACTCGCCGAAGACATTGGCTGGGGGTCGCGCTATGTCGTGAATTGACAGAAATTAGAATTGATGGACAGGCCATTGGGTCGGGTCCCAGTGGCTTAATGGTATACGAGCTCGCCTTGTAACCCTGCTGGTTTTCCAATAGTTCTCTAACCAATGTCAGCTCATGATGAAATCCTGTAACCAATCAAATCCCTACAAACCAACACTTAAATATGCTTTAGTTATCTCAATTACCGAAGTTGGTCTTCCACCACTTTATAAGCACGAATGATACTGTCGATCTATATAACATGAAATGCACTGGATAGAAATGACTAAAAATGTGTATTGTCTATGTCAAACTCACTAAATCAATAGGGGATAATTAGATGTATAACTTTCCCAACTTCTAAATATCTCAAATATCTTATTGTAATAAGATATGGTACATTTGAGATAAAATTAGTACTTTAGTCCTGTGCTTTTAACTAAATTGTGATAACTGTTTCAGCAGATTCTGTTTATCAACATAGAACTTTGCACTGATGTACAACAGTGCTAGTCGCCACACGTCACTCAACACACAAAGCCAGAGGGGAAAGTAAAAAGAAACGCAAAATAGAGACAGTAAACAGAGATATGAAGCGAAAAGAATAGTAATATCGGGGAACGATATCGTTTTACTGGAAATTATAAGTCACAAGGAGTGGATGCATCTGCGCCAGCCATTGACAACGATTTTGAGCCATATTACCAATTGTCTCCAGCCATTGATGTTTACCGTCCCGAGGACCCCGGCCAGGAAGTCTTCATCTTCTTACGTGGCTGGCTTAAACTAACTGTTGTGGATTTCATTGAATTTAGCTAACCAACTAACCAGTTCATCGGACAAACTGAGAGAATATTTCAATAATTTCGTTAACACTTAAGAATTAACCTTTATGGGTAAATTTTTGTTTTGATAAAGTCTCACAGTGTTATACAGTAATGTTTACTGATGACGTTTCGAGCACAATTTATTGCCTCTCATAATCATATCAAGGTACTCACACGACTTCCTAACTTCATTTAAATAGTTCCATTATTTTTCACTTGATTTTCGCTTGATTTGATTGGTAGTAGTATTTTCCATAGTTCAGGTATGAGTGATGACTCATTCCTATTGCATGTGTTTGATGTAGACTCGGTGAACAAAAAGTAATCTGAATAGTTGGAGAGGGAGGTTGATTACTGAATCCTTGTAGATACCGTAGATACCGACCATGCACTGGTCCGCGCTCGGGTGTGCTTACGACTGAACGGACGTAGGAAACAGCTGGCGGTAAAACCATCACGTCCCCAGCTCGATCAGGAAACTAAATCCGTATTTGAGGAAGAACTAGCTAAACACATATCTGTGTTCGACAGCTGTGCTCACCCTGAAGAAGCTTGGAAAAATATCCAGGCAGCCATAGATACAGCTGTAAAAGCTGTGAATAAGGTAAACCCAAAGGTGAGTAAAAACCACTGGATCTCCACCGCCTCATCCGAACTGATAGATGCTAGAAGACTTATTCCGGCGAGCTCCGAATTCAATGAGGAGCGAAAGCTGCACAAGAGGAAACTTACGAAAAGTCTCCGCAAGGACCGTGAACAGTGGTGGGCGACAAAAGCCAAAGAGATGGAGAAAGCTTTGAGGATAGGCAACACCAGGCAACTCTTTGGACTCATCAGGGAAACGGGTGGGAGAAGACAAATCATTAGTGAGACAATCTCGGAAAAAAATGGCACTATAATTAGCTCCAGGATAGACGACTGGATCGTTGGAAAGAGCATTATGAGGAGCAGTTTAATTTGCCCACAGCCACGCTCAACCTTCCGAGCATCCAACACCTCCCTGAATGGGATATAGATACAGGTCCTCCGTCACTAACTGAGGTTACTAAAGCTGTCACCAATCTGAAACTAGGCAAAGCAGCGGGACCTGATGGAATGACTCCAGAGGTATTTAAGTACGGTGGAGACAGCTTACTGTCCGGATTAACTGAGGTACTAGGCAGCGTTTGGGAATCAGAAGAAGTCCCATCGGGTTGGTGTAAGTCACTGATTATCCCCATATACAAGAAGGGAGACAAGTCTTCCTGTGATAATCACAGAGGGATTAGCTTGACTAATATAGTATCTAAAGTCTTAGGCTCAATAATCATGCGTAGACTGAGTGGTGCTCGGGAAGCACAAACACGAGAGAGCCAGGCAGGCTTTAGACCAGGAAGAGGGTGTATTGATCATATCTTCACCCTCCGACAGATTCTAGAACATAGGCATTCCTACCGGCGTCCAACAGTCATTATATTTCTTGACCTAAAGGCAGCATTCGACTCTGTCGATCGGGAAGTTCTCTGGAGATGCTTGGCTGTAAAGGGAATTCCAAGAAAATATATTGCACTGATTAAGGCACTCTACTCGTACTCATACAGCCAGGTGAGGGCTTACGGCGAGCTGTCATCTGAACTGATGACGACCAGTGGTGTCCGTCAAGGATGCCCATTATCTCCTTTTCTATTCAACTTCATCATAGATGTGTTAATGGACTTAACCCTAGGTGACTTCAGCGACTCAGGGATTGACTTGCTACCGGGAATAATCTCGTTGACTTGGAATATGCAGACGATATAGTCCTTCTAGGCGAAGACGCTGACGAAATGCAGAGTCTTCTAAACACCTTGAGCCGCAATCTACGAATGTTTGGCATGCGATTCGCTCCCGCCAAATGCAAGATGATGTTACAGGACTGGACTACATCGACGCCTAGTTTAAAAATAGGAAGTGAAGTGGTAGAGCACGTTGACCGCTTCACTTATTTGGGAAGTACCATCAGCCCCAACGGGCTGATCTCTGACGAAATCTCAGCACGAATACAAGGGGCTCGTTTCGCATTTGTTAGTTTACGCCGACTCTGGCGTAGACGAGATGTTCGACTATCGACCAAAGGGCGGGTGTACTGCTCATCAGTCCGCTCCGTCCTCCTTTATGGTTGTGAGACCTGGCCACTGAGAGTGGAAGACATGAAAAGACTAGCTGTCTTTGATCATAGGTGCCTGCGTTCTATTTCCCGTGTAAAGTGGCATAATAAGGTGAGCAACATGGAGGTTAGGCGTAGAGTTCTAGGTAAACAGGGGAAATCAATCGACGAAGTCGTGAAGCTACAAAGACTGAGATGGTTAGGACATGTGTTACGTATGCCAAGCCATCGCCTCCCTCGACGAGCAATGTTAGCGGATATAGGGTCAGGCTGGAAAAAAGCTAGCGGCGGTCAAACAAAAACTTGGCATCAGTCAATGAAATCCACAACAGTTGGTCTAAGCCACGTAGGAAGGTGTAGACTTCCAGGCTGGGGTCCTCGGGACGGTAAAAATCTATGGTTGGAAACAATTGGTGACATGGCTCAAAATCGTTCTCAGTGGCGCAGATGCATCCACTCCCTGTGACTTATGATCTTCAATGAAACTGTTTTGTATTTCTTTATTACTCCTTTGTCTCACACCTCTGCTCACTGTTTCTATTATGCTTTTCTTGTACTTTCTTCTCTTGCTTCGCGTGCTACACGGAATGTGGCGACTTGAACTTCCGCACATTTGTGCAAAGTTCTATGTCGAAAAGAGACAGAACAGAAACAGACAAAATAGATTACCTCCGAAAATTTGTCACTTCAAATTTTGATTGTTCTATAAAAGAAAAAAAGGAGAGATAGTGCATGTAAAAGGAAAGTATCTGTTATAATGATGCATGGATTGGGAAATATTGAGACTGTAACGCCTTTTGTCTGATGAATGTGGGCTCAGACAGGTGGGGGATATTTCTTCAGAAGATATAATAAAAGACATGTTAGACTTATGATAATTAACTGCATTGCAGAAGTTTTCATCGGAAAATATTCTGCAGTATATAGTGAGGCGAGTAACTGGACCACGGTTGAGGAAAGAATTTGCTTATCTGACTGGTTTAAGGATAGCTAGCTAGAATACTGAGTACTTTGTATGGTGGAAAGATTCTACTCAATAACTGATTTACTTGTGTGATTACACTTGTGCTATATCTCAGACAAAATGGATAGATGTCTAGTCGGAGTCACATTGAATTGTCTTTTTCGAACTTAGTCTAAGAAGTAATAGGCGGAGAAATCAACCGTAACTCGTTTGCATGAAATCATCTTGATGAGTTGAATTGGGTGGTTTCCGGTTGTCAGGAAGTTTGTTTACATACTGAACAATTGATTCAGGCCTGCAACAACCTGCAAAGTGATTAACTGATGAAGAACTGGGACTCGTTTTTTTACTATGTCAATCGCTGCTAAACAATTAAACCTAATCTTTATATTCAAAAAGTGTAATCAGTTTAGCATTGCCGTGGGAATTAGAATTTTAACACATTTGTATAATCTTTCCTGCTTGTGTTATTTTGTGGTGAGAGCTGTCTGTTGGCCAAAATTTTAGACAACAATTTACGTCAATGTTTACGTCCCGAGTCAGGGTCATGAGAAAAAACAATAACAAAGCTTAACCTTGAAGAACTCACCAACCAATCACAGCAGACTTAACGTGTGCAAATACGATTAGCTGACTCTCTAAGAGAAGGCCACAAAAAGATGATAGAATAATCTTCAGCAGGAAAACAACCAATCAGAAGACGTTGCTTCCCTGCTAACAATAACGAATAATAATGTACATAAAAGTCTATAAATATCCGTTGATTTTCTCAATAAACGATCTGTTGCCTGGCCCTTGTCTTCTGTCGTTACAATTTATTATTTATTCTAAGTGTCTTATATAGTATGGTTATTCATCCTCTTTTTATGTGAAAGTTTTCACTATTTTTTATCTTGTTATTTTTACTTTTGCCATTTCTTTTACTGGTTACAGGATTTCGTCATGAGGTGACATCGTTTAGAGAACCATTGGAAAACCTGGGAGTATTGAACAACTGTTTCGTCCAGCTTTCGAACAAAGCGAGCTTGTAGGTCATTAAGCCCCTGGGACCCGATCCAATGACCAGCCCATGAATTCTAACTTCTGCCAATTCACGATACAGCGCAACCAATAGTGAATGTCATAGCTGGCGAGTATCTGTCTTCACACCCGACCTGGTTGCGTGCTGAAGAAGAATCCCAAACTAGGACAGAACAGCTGTCCGGTACTCCCTGCTGGTTTTCCAATGGTTCTCTAAGCGATGTCAACTCATTATGAAATCCTATAACCAATCAGATCGAATCATTGAATTTCAACATTTGAATTTGTTTTACTATTTTCATTCTTACATGACTTAAAATTGTTTTACTACCTTGGATAAGACTACGGTATCTTACTTCAAATAAGTTATAAAACTAAACTGCATAAGCACCATTTGTTTTTTTCTGATTGTTCCTTTTCCACCTAAGTTACGTACTTCATACGGTTATTCCATTCTAAAAGGAAATTGTGTTAAAGCTTTTACCTCATATTAAAATCTACCAGTATTTGGTACTCATATTTTTTGGACGTTTGTCATAAGTTGACCACAGTTTCATTGTCACCACAACGTTGAAGTATGAATATTCGAAACAACAGAGAGAGAAGAAGTCTAAATTTGTTTTTGTTAAACAGGGTTATGACTTACTTTAAGTGTAATTCATACACCACATATTCATGTGTATCTTGTTCCTCTATTAAAATTTCAGGGTTCTGTACAGAGTCTAGCATTTTCACCCTGTGGACGTTATTTAGCCAGTGGTGGTTGGTGTGGTACTACATGTCTTTGGGACTTGGGATCTGGTCTTCAAGTTGGTCAGTTGGGAGGATATTCAGCATCTCGAGCTACTGCCACTGCATCAAGCAATGAGTTTGACTCTCAAGATTCAAGTCAATGGTTAACTGGTCCAGTTGTATCTCTCGCTTTCTGTCCAGGTAATTCAGGACGTCTTGCTGCAGGTGGTCTCGAGGGTGCATTGCGAATATGGAATACAGTTAATGGTTGGTCAACTGCTACTAGCACATCATCTGGGAGTAATGCTGATGATAAAAGTTCAAAAACTAACCTTTTGGCATTGCATAGATTTACTAAACAGCAGTTAGTTCGTCAAACAGGCAAAAGCATTAAAGGAAGTGGATCTAGTGGGCAAAATATGCTGGGCTATTATTCACCAGCAACGGGTCCTGATGTTTCTGATGCCTGTGCCAATGAGGTGTTCTACACTAGACGTACTTCAATTCTTGGATTACACTATGTTCATCCGTATCTCCTTTTGGCTGCTGGACCATATAATCAAAATTGATTTTTATAATTAGTATCATTCTTTGTACAGTTAACTTTTGTATTGTAATTTTCAGTAAATTACTTATTTTTATCACTGCTCTTTGTGGTTACTCGTGATGCGTTTCACCGTAGGTATTCTAAATTTAAAACTCGAGAAATAAAAGGTTGCCGGAGTTAATAATATTTCATGGAGCATTCCATTTTCTCAGGATAAGCCGATACTAAGCAGTTAAAGGTCCAAAGCATTATTATGAGTTTATGAATCTTAAACAAAGCGCTTCTTATATGGTGTCTTTTGACTAAGAGCAAAAATTAGGCCATCTGTAAAATGTTTCAACACTTTCTTGTCAGAGAAAAGAAATTTGTTAATAGCCAAGAGGTTAGAATACTTCTTCAAATCCCTTATTTCCGATATTAATATATGCTTAGTCTTGATGTTGTCTCTCATAGGTTGTAACTTGAAAAATCTGACTATTGTGAAGTCTTATTTCATTAGAAAAAAATAGTATATTCAACACCATAGATTTTCAGTTTATCCCCGATAGAGACCTGATACTTTAAATGTTAGCCATTTGTATTTACTACTAGTGAGTAGTATGAACATTTTTTCTTCGCTAAATTAGAGAATGGATCACTGAAAGGAGTAATTAATGACATGGATTTCTGTTGTCGATATATGGATGATACATTTGTGGTTATGAAAGATGAGAATGATGCCATGAATATCCTTGACAAGTTTAATGATGCACATTCAGCGATAAACTTTACCATAGAGGAAGAAAGTAATGACAGTATCTCATTCCTAGACGTCTTCATGGTAAGGAGAGAAGATTGCACACTAAGAAGAAGTGTGTATAGGAAGCCTACAACAACAGGTCAGTACACTCATTTTTTGAGTTCTGTACCTTTGAAATGTAAACGTAACCTCGTGAAGTGTCTGGCTCATAGAGCTAGGTTAATCTGTTCAGACGACTGCCTCAATGAGGAGCTTAAGATTATTAGAGAATTACTTGGGAAAAATGGCTATCCAGATAAATTCATTGAGAAAAAAATATAAATTCAGCTCCAAGGAGAGTCAGTATGGCCACAGTCCCGAATAAACCAATGTTCATAAAATTGCAGTTCCTCGGTGACAACATCAGCGAATTAATAACACAGCGCCTGAAGAATGCAGTTAAAAGAACTTATTATGCAGCAGAGGTACGTTGTCTCTTTACAACCACACCTATTTTATGTTCGAGAAATAAGGATAAACTACCTAAATTCGCCTCCTCTATGTGTATCTACCAGTTTGACTGCAGCTGCGGAGCCAGCTACATTGGGCGTACAATCGTCGTATTTCCGAACATCATCCAACGTGGTTAAGTAAGGGACAAAAAGGATATATTCGTAGCTCTATTTTAGCCCACCTCGTTGATACTGAGCATAAGATTGATGTTAATACAGCATTTAAAATTATTTATCGCATTCCGACTTATCTTAATTTCGCTCTGCGAGTTCGTCTTCTACAGACGGCTGAGGCGATTGGCATTCATCTGAAGAAGCCAAGCCTATGTGTACAGAAAAAATTTGTACAGCCACTTTCCCTACCGTGGCCATCGTCACAAGAATGGATAAACAGGACTGCGTCACCCCCCTCCCCCTAAACCTATAAAATTATATTTGTCTAAATTATTTATTTTGACCACTTTATCTTTAATTTACGTGTTATTCTTGTGAAATTAATTTATTCTATCCATTTCCACCTTTTAAATCTGTATTGATTTTCTTCGTTAACTATTAACCCATTGACACTGTTTAATTATTGTTAACAAACTTATCGCCACTTGATTGGCAAACTGTTGTATTGTAATAAAAATGCTATATATATTAGAGTAGAGCCAAAGATGAGGATCTAATCGAAAAGTAAGTATTTCTTCACTCAATCTTTCTGTTTTCCTAATTTGTTTGCTTTATTCTTAATTCATGAATAATTCCCATCCGAGCAGTAATAAAAACAAAGCAAGTAGTTCAGCAAATGGTCTTTTCGGCGAATTCATTTTATTTAGCTTTACTGTCGCCCTTTAATACGATTTTTCTCGTAAAAGTTGATTGTAAGAAAGGGATGAATCATCACAAGAATGATTGTAAGAACCTGAAGAGAAAAGAAATTGAAAAGAATATTCTTCGTTCAGATTGACTTTTAATTCATGATATGGGATATTTCACACTATTAAATCACAAGAGTAGTTGTCAATATTAGTCAGCATATGTGCGAAGTTGAATAAGGGTGGTAGAATTGCGCAGTAAGACAAATTCTTTATAGTGGCACTCTCCAAATTGCTGATACTGAGCTCTACCTTACTTACAAGTTCTAGCTTACATTGGATAGAAAAGAAAATTAGGATGAATTAACGATGTAGCTTGTTCATTCTATTTGGAAAGCAAATCGAAGATTTAATTTGTCTTTACGATTAGTTTTAAAGCTACCAGGGATCTCTATAAGCAGATAAGAGTTTAACAGTTGGACTGAAATACACAGACAATCGAGACTGTTATCAATAAATCATGTAGTTCAGTTGTCATTTGATTTCATTATTGAACATTCATTCTCTGAATACTTAAAACCTACAGCCTAACTGTTTTGTAATTATTTTATAGTAATGAGTACTTTACTCACTTAGTAATTTGGTGTAAATACTGACTTACTTTTCAGATATATGTTCAGTAGTGTGGCGACCAAAACGCATGTGTTATGGTCTGATCTCAGGAAACCCGTCTAGGTGTTCTACCGCATAGCTAAGCAGAACTTACCTGAGTTATACGCAGTACAATAATGTCGCGATAATAGAAAAAAAAGACAGCTATTTCCGAAAAATTCTCCGGTACTATTCAACAAATATAGTGTATGAAAACCCAAAATTACCTCAACAATGACGTTAGGCTGATCAGACTACACAAAACAAGTACTGTAGAACAAAATTAGTCAACCATAAAAAGTGTCTCAGAATCAAGTAGAATAGTCCCGACAAGGTGAAGCGAAAACTCTGTCAGCAATAATCATGCATCAAACAATTCTCTCAGACAGTCCAAAGTCACGATGACCGTGATACATTCAAGCTAAATCGCAGTCATAAAACTGCACAATATCAGTATCGTCACATAACCACAATAAGAAGCACTAGAATCAAAGAATAAGCAGGAACAAAGAAGAAGAATAAGGATTAAGTCAATAGGTTGTATGCACACATCAGAACAGTGATACACTCACAGTCTAAAAGAAAAAAGGATGATAATTACAGAGTTAGTTAAAACATCAGAATAAGTACAAATATTGTGGTTAGATTGTTCAGGAGGAATATTCCAAACAGTTATTCTGATTCAAGTAGTCCTACATGAACCTCTGTTAGTCAGTTAACCAAATAATAATCAATCGCAATAGCAATAAAGTAAATATAATTCACTTGAGAGAGAGAGAAGGAAAATATAAGCATGGAATTCTCACACACAAAGAAAACAGGTAGCACTTGGGAATTAGTTACAGAATTTCATCATTAGCTGACATGCGTTATAGGTGGAGAAATCCTGTAACCAATCAATCAAATCCCTATAAACCAATACTTGAATATCAATGAGATGCTCAGTGGTGATTGGTCCTATACACATATGTAGTTACCTGGGTTCCAGTGGGAAGTAATGGCGAGTGGGATACAACAGGTCGGGTGTGAAGGCAAACACTCGCCGCTGACATTCGCTGGTGGTCGCGCCATATCATAAATTGACAGACGTTGTAATTGATGGACCATCGGATCGGGTCCCACTGGCTTAATGGTCTACGCTCTCGCCTTGTAACTAGAAGGTCCACAACGTGGTTGCGTACTGATGAAGAATCCCAAACTGGGACGAAACAGGTACCCAGTACTCTCTGCTGGTTTTCCAATGGTTCTCTAACTGATGTCAGCTCATTGTGAAATACTGTAACCGATTAATCCAATTCCTACAAGCCAATACTTAGGAATTACTTTCATTTTAAAATGATATTGTACTCAGCATGTTTAATTCAATGGTCAGTATTTCACACAGCAGAACTTCAGTAATTCATAGTAAAAAGAACTACTGATTACTCATAAATTTCTAGCTTACAGGGCTATACACCTTTCTGAATTATACAGATTTCGGTGATGCTATCGAAAATGAAAGCTTGTGGTTTAGTATGTTCTACTGACAAGATTTATAAGTACTATATAGATGCAGATATAAATATATGTATATCATCTGCTCTGGTTCGGTGGTAGAATGCTCCCTAATCACCGTGTTGTCCGCGGTTTGATTTCCCCTCCATGCGCCTTTTCCCCTCACCGGTAGTAGGCCCGACAGGGGGGGGAAGGCTAGACGTAGGACTAGTAATCCCACTCTGTAAAAACCACCATTGTTACTGAAATTTTAAGGCCTCAAGCTTGAAGCCATGTGTTCCACCAGGAAACTATAATAACAAAAGAATAATAATCATCTACAGAAATATCGAATGGCGAGGAGAACAAGGGGAAAACATGAAAGAAGCACAATACAGAAGACAAGTGTAAATTGTCATTTTAATGTATGATAGACATATTTTGCCCATATCTGTACATTGATTTTTCAACAAATAATTACACTATCAACTACCCTTGTGTCTGATATTTTCAATTGCAACTATTTACTTGATCTGTTCAGATACAATTTGTAAAACAAATCATCTGAAAAAGGAAATAAAACTAGTATGATAGCAAAAGTTTGTGTACCCATTTAATTGTGGTAATTTTGATAATCCAAATAGAAATAAATGACATTCTACCACCGAACTTCAGTAGTCGATATAAATATTTATATCTGTATCTATATAGTACTTATAAATCTTGCCAGTAGAACATACCATACAATAAGCTTTTCACTTTCAGTAGTATTGTGGTGAAAGCTGTCTGCTAGGCGAAACTGGTAGACAACAATTGACGTCAATATTTACTTCCTAAATCTCGGTTGTGAGAAAAAAACTAGAACAAAGGCTAACCTTGAGGAACTCAACAACCAATCACAGCAGGCTTAGCCTGGGCGGATACGATTAGCAAAAATATATCAACAGGACTATCTAAGAAACGGCAACAAAAGAGGTGACAGAATAAACTTCAGCAGGAAAACAACCACCCAAAAGACGTTGCTTCCCTGTTAACAATAACGAATAATAATGTACATAAAAGTCTATAAATATCCGTTGATTTTCTCAATAAACGATCTGTTGCCTGGCCCTTGTCTTCTGTCGTTACAGTGTCACCGAAATCTATGTAATTCAATAAGGTGTATATCCCTGTAAGTTGGAGACTTATGATTAATCAGTAGTTTTTACTGTGAATTACTGAAGTTCTGCTCGGTGAAATATTGGCCATTGAATTAAGCAGACCTAGAACAATATTTTTTTATAAAAATCAAAGTAATCTCTAAGTATGGGTTTTTAAGGATTTGATTGATTGGTTACAGGATTTATCGTGAGCTGACATCGGTTAGAGGACCATTTAGAAAACCATCAGGGAGCACTGGACAGCTGTTTCGTCCTGGCTTGACACTCTTCATCAATAAGCACCTACTGCAGAGGTTCAAATCCAGAATTTTCTGGTTACAAGGTGAGCTCGTAGACCACTAAACCACTGGGACCCGAACCAGTGGTTCATGAATTCTGACCTCTGCCAATTTACGATATGGCGTGACCACTAGCCAATGTCTTTGGCGAGTATTTGTCCTGACACTCGACCTACTTCTCCCTACTGATCACGACTTCCCACTAAAACCCAGGTGACTACCTACCTGAATAGGGCCAGTTGCTAGTGAACATCAGATTGATATTTAAGTATTGGTTTACAGGGATTTGATTGGTTTCAGTTCATGGTGAAATTCTGGAACCAGCCAAATTCCTGCAAACCAACATTCGAATATATTGTTATTCTTTTTGGAATGGTTTTTATATCTCTAAATCCAGAGGTTAGGAAGACTTTCCTGGAATCTTATTTTACACTCGACAAAATACCATCATGTCATCGATAGTTTGGCCACTAAGTGACTTCAGTTACAGAGCCTAAGAGTACTGGGCAGCCGTTTCTTCCTTGTTTGGGACGCTTCATAGTAGGCATAATGACGCCAACAGGGACTGAACCTAAGTCCTTCAGGTTACGAGGCTAACTCATTGATCATCAACCACTAGGGCAGAATCCAATGGCTCATTAATTATACCTTCTGTCTATTCGTGATATATAGTATGACCACCACTCACTGTCATCG